TACAAACAAATTAAAACAAGTTTAATTGAAAAGGGGCCCAAATTTTTAAGTGTAGTGGGGCATTCTTTGAGGGTTAGTTGACTTGACCCACCTTGGAAGAGTAAAACTATATACACTAACTGACTTTAATAAGCATTTCTTCACAACATTTAGCAATATTTTAGTAAACATTAAAAGCCTGTTGTATATAAAAAAAACAGATTTTTACTAAAGATTTGGATGTGAATTTCCAAAGCATTTACCAAGTCATTATGAGTGTAAGGTTATTTTCATGCTAATACACTTCTTTTCACCCAAGTTTTCACATTTCACTAACATAACCTCTAGACCTACTAAATGAATATCAAAAGTTTTTGATAATACTTTATATTTCTTCTCTTATTTTCTCTACCTTGGCATTAATTGTACTGAAATCAATGTACAGAGAAATGAAGAATTTAAATATGAAAAAAGATGAATAATACAATGTTTTTCTCTGCACTTTGAACTGCTAACTTTTTTCACATTTCTTTTAATTTTATGGTTCTACTGTTGTATTTCTGGCACTGGAACAGTAATTCTTGCATAAAAAGCAAAAAAAATACCAGTGGAAGCCCATTAGCTGTTTCGCACATATACTAAATGAGCTAATATCATATTTCACAGAGGAACTCAATAAGTGTATTTTACACACTTTACTGAAGTTTGTAACTTTAAAAAGAAAAACAATAAATAAACAAAGGATTTTTAGTATTCTGTGTATTTCAGTTGTTTTCACTCAAGTAAAAATATTTGATGTTTTTCCCTGAGTGTTCTTCACTGTCACAAAATGAGAATTTTCAGCACAGCTGCATAATGTGACACAGAAAAATGATGCAATTTTTTAAGTATATATTTTTGAAATTAAAAAAGTTAAAATTTAAATGAAGATTTAAATTATAAATGACATTTTAATGCCAAGTTTATTGACATGTATCACAATGCTGTTTAAATTTTGAACTTAATGCTAGAAAATGTCATGAAATGTATTTTGACCCAGTTATACAAAAAAAGTTAATGGCATTTAACATACCTATTGAAATTGTTACAATTGACACAATTATAGCCATTATAACAAAATAATAAATGTACATTTACTTCTGTATCTAAATTAAATTAAGAAACATTAGTCATAATTATAACACATTTTAAACTGTGAATTAACAAAGCAGAAATTTGAATAGTAAGAAAGACATTGAAGTGTGCATACTATTATCTAATTTAAGCCTACAATACTTTCTTTTGTAGTTTATAGTCATTGCGAAATAATTCCTACACATATGCCTGTATCAACAATTTTAATATGGTAGTTTAAAATATTAAAAAGACCACTGCAGGCTTTTGTGCATTTGTATCAATCTTATTGCAGAGAAACAACCTGCGACAACAGCCTCAAACCAAATTCATTAAGTTTACTATTACTAAAGTTAATAGTCAAATTCAACATAAAAATCATTCCTAATGTCTCTTATAAATTACTACTTTTTTTTAAATTGCATTCTGAAAAGAACTAAGAGAAAAACTACAAATTGGTTTCACAACATAACAATGTTTTGGGACAACATAGGACCTATTGGTCCATCTTAACTGTTCCATCCTCTAAACTAAATTAAAATAATAATATTAAAAATCTTAAAGCTAGCCCTCATCATTCACATAATTACCAAGCTTTTTCTTTAACTCACTTATTTGCTAATATATTACACATGTAACAAATCAAACACAATGGCATCTCGCTTACCTCTTTCCATTTTTGGAAATACTTCCTTATATCCACTTACTTCTCTATTTGACATGAATAACCAATCAAAAGCTCAGAATGTCCCCTAGTGTCTTTCTCAGCCATTTTAACAGGCTTGGATGCCATTTCTTTCTATTGAATCAATATTTCTAGGAGGTAGGTTGTGTCTTTTTGTCTTCTCAAAATTTCATATTTTTTAGACCAAAGTACATCTTAGTTACTAAGCTTGATAAATTATAGTTGAATTCTATGGTATTGATGTAGTAATTTATGATTGTTTTGTCATTCAAATTGTGCATAAAATCTAAAACTAGTTCCGTCATAAAAAATTTGCATATCTTTCTTTTGGATGGGTAAGGGATTTCCAAAATTGTTGCGAGATACCATTTTGATAAAACATTGAAAATACCTCATTTTAGAATTTAAATATTTATTGGTGACCCACAATCTATCATAATGGCATCAAGTCAGCCAATGTAGCAGTATTTTTACTAAAGAATGGTATTTTATTTATGTGCAAACCTTTACAATAATTTTCAATATATAAGGATTTAACTCTCTCAACACGGGCACAGCCAATTTGACCAACCACATAACCTCTTTGTACTGATTTAAATTATTTATAGATTTAATACTTATAACTCTCAATATACCGTGTATATCTTCACAAAATTTGGCAGTCTTTTAGATAACATTACAAGTCGTTTCACATAAAAAATATATTTTTAGTGAAGTATTTTTAATAAAATAAAGATTTGTCCATGAATATATTGAGCATTTGTTTTGAATAGTCTGTGTGCAAAGTAATTTTTCATGTTAAAATCAAAAATACTTTTCATCTCAAAAATCTCATTTTCTTTGTGTAATCTCTAAAACCTCCTAAATGCATTTTAAACGTTTTTTTCAGTAAAACTTGAGTTTATCTGTTATTTTCTCTCCCCTATCTCAAAAGGGGATTGGTCAATTTGACTGACCTTGTAACAACCAAAATAAATCTAAATTACCTTTCTAGAATGACTTCAAATTGTAACATGAAGCTACATTTGTTTCTCCTACTAGCTCTAAGTTTATAACATTATAAATCTATTTATAATTAAATTTTATTGTTTTATTGCCCTTTGAACTATGTCTAATTACTATTTGCACCATAAAAAGTTTTAAATCACTTGGAGTGGCAAATTATGCTCAGAAGATATTCAGGAAATTTACAAACCCTAATGTTTTGGTTTGGAGCATGCTAAAATAAACCCAGATCCAATAATTATGATTATAAATGATATTTTAATTATGCCTCTAGCTATATTGCCCAGGTACATCAATCCAAGGTATCTGTTGTATAACTCTACATATGCTCTATTCAGATTTGTGCAATGGCTCACTGCAAAATCAATTCCGTTCAATATTCCAAGAAATACTAAAAGTAAATTCAACAAAATACATTTCTAACACAAATACAAACTTATGCACCCAAGTTGACTGCATTTTTCAACCAAGCAAGTCTGAAATAATTGATCATCAATAATTACAGTATTTGACAACACATCTCCTACATAACAGACATCTTGAAATAACATCTTGAAATAACCTGTACTCAAACTGAACTACTTGGAATGTGCAAAAAATGTCACTCTACAAGAAATGACTTGGGGGAATGAGGCAAGAAGTTACTTGTAAATTGGAAACACAAAACCCCATTTCTCTTTTATGACAAATGTAATAGTAGCATTTTCAGTAGCTATTCTACAAGTAAAAAGACATAGGCATAAGCTATAAAGCAACAAAGAAGCAGTCAGAAATCCTGCAGTCTCTTTGTGTTATAATACAGTATACTCTAATGAAGAATAAGGTAATTGTGTTTTGTATTGCTTACTAACAATATAAAAATGTCACTCTTTTTATAGCCTGTTGACATCTATCAAGTATTTGTTCTTAAAAAAAAAAAAGGTTATAGAAAAACTACTAATTTAGTTTATTTCTTATAACTTTTTGATTCAACAGTGCAATTTATGGCCTTAAAGCAGGATGTATCCATTCATTCACCAACATTAAAAGCAGAGCTACATTTGTAGTTGTGATCACATGCTGGGGTCATAGAAGGGTGGAAATAACAGGCCATTCTCATAAAATCGAGAAAAGGAAGGAAAGTCGCATAAGAAACAAAACATTGCAAGGTAGTGCTTCCCAAACTTTTTCAGCTCGTGATATGCTTTTAATGTCCCAAACTCTTTGTGGCACATGTAATTAATTCCATATGCCCCCCCCCTTGACCAAGACAGGCAGAAATTACTATTATACTGTGTATCAAGGAGAAACTGAATCAAACTTCAAAATGTATTAAGTTGATAATAAATTTACATTACTTAATAATTGTAAAAACTTTGTGGCATAACTTTGTGCTGCAGCACACAGTTAGGGAAGCATTGTCCTAAGGTATGATGGTTTCTTAGCAAATGTACACCTATTACTTGAGATGCATAGAAATGCAAAAAATTTATAAATGCATAATTTATGGGTGAGGCCCTTGAAGCTGTGCAGAAATATTACTTTTCATTTTTTTTTTCAAATTACACTAGATAAATGTCACAAAATAAGTTTTCGCTTAAAGCTTTTAAAAAACTGACTTCATAATGTAATGTATGCAATTAACCATTTCTGAGCATTGAGCTCTTTTTCTGGTTTTAAGTGCATACATATAAAATTTAAATAGAGATAATTCTAACTTGGTTTCAATAATTTTATACCTACAAATATTGTGACATTAAAATCAAATTTAAAATAAGTATATTGAAAACGTTTATGCCAACAGAATACAGCTGACATGTATTTATGATAGTATGAAGAATTATTACATAAATACATACATATCATAATGTAATATGATTTTTTTTAAGTTAAAATGGTATTTTCTTTCCCCCACGAATACATCTTTTCACAAGACAAGTATGGAATCATAATTTATAATTTTCAAGATTTTTCCCGTTGGTTTTCAAACCTAGTGTTGATGTAGATTATTACCGATGTAAATATAGGAGACACTACTTAAACATTAATTTTTCAGTAAGTTATAATTTTTGACCAAGCTCAAAAGAGTCAAACAAAACCCCAACCTTCGAAATGGTAGTTAAGCCTACTACTAATATAACAAGACTTCCGCCAGTTCTGTAAAGTTTAGGGCACAAATATCAAACTATTTATTACTGTACTATTTGTAGCAATAAAGTTTAGCAGAAAATAAAATAACCTCATGCAAATGAAGTTCGATGACCCTGACGATCTTGTGCGCATATTTGCTGTTATCTTCTGCTAACATCGTCAACATGTTGATTAAAGGCTTACTATTACAAGTCAAATCAGCCAAGGAGGAACGGTAATCTTCGCAAATGTCTTCATCCATATTTTACTGAAAGAGTTGAAAACTAAAGAAAATAATATAAGCAACGTATAAGTCAGTAATACATTAAATTGTAGAGGAAGAAAAAATCTCAGTTAACGACAGCTGTAAATTAAAGATAATAACCGAAAATCTAACTTCAGTTACATTACAACACTTCCATTACACAAGCTCAAATATGGCGACTATCTCACTGTGTGTGTCGAACAACGCCGATAGCATACTCCAGTTGGACAAGTCTTATTGGTCAAAATAGTAAAAACGTCATAGAGATTGCAAAAAACAGCCAATGAATATCATTGTTAAAACTATTTTAAGGCATCGTTATACTTTTATAAGATTACAAAAGTGTAAAAGTGGGCTTTAGAAATGTATTTACCATTTTGAACGTTATATATTACTTAAAAATTTTGTTAACCTCAGTAGCCAAAAAATATGTAACATATATATAGTAATAAGCTGTTTGTTTTTATTCAATGTCACATTCTTCAAAACAGTAATAAATGATATATAAAAACAGATAAAATATTTTATTAATTTTATAGTAAAATTTGTTTATATTTTCCTGATTTTATGAGTTAAAATATATTTTATTTTGTGATAAAAATAAGGTAAACTGTAGATTTTCTTCCTTTTATTCCTTTTCGTTTATTCATTCTGGATTCTAAATAAGAAGTGTGCTTCTAATGCTTCGTCAATTTTCGGCGTTCAAACCGTAACATATCACTGTAAGTTATCTTTTTAAAGTTTCAATTTAGATGTTACCTTGAGGACACTTGTTGTTAAAGTAGGCCTAGGAAGCTCTAAATTTGAAGCTAAGAATCTTGTAAATTGGGGGAGTTTGAGAGATCAGAGTAGATTATAAATCTGAGAATCAATGCATCTTTGATTCAGTGTTTTGCTTTCAATTACCAGTTATTCAGTGAAGATTTAGTTCCAGTAAAAAATCTGTGTTAGTTATCGCATGTATTCAGTTACCTTATCAATCAGCTATGAGTAAGTTTATTTTTACATTAGTTATAGTACCGTTAGTGAGGTAATTTAGTTCGAACGTCATTTGCAAACCTAGGCCAGCAACATTGCAGAAGTGAAAACAGCTTTTAGAATGTTAAGGAAGAAATAAGCTAATTTGTTATTTTAAGTGGTCAAGATTTATTTTCATCAAATAATTTAAAAAATTCGCCCAACAAAAGAACAACGTTACAGCAATATGTTCTTTTTAGAGCTATATATTAAGTTGCTTTAAAGTAGAGGATTATAACTAGAAATCCAACCTACAAATGATGCTCACCAAAACTTAATGCACCATAACTCAGTGTTATGGAAGAAAATGATCTTGATATTCTAGTTCAGGGGTCACCAAACCACGGCTCACGGGCCGGATCTGGCCCACTGCTGCATTGTGTCACAAATGAGCTAAAATATAATTATTTATATGGAAATATCATAGATTGTAGATAAACTTACT